ATTTAACCTATTTTTCTATTTTTATTCGTAATAAATTACATAATTTTATTGAATTTTTAAATGAAAATAATATAATATATGAACAAATCAATTATAAAAATGAATTTGAAAAAAAAGAAATTGAAATTGAAAATGGAACCTTAGTTAAAAAAAATATATTCTATAATAAAATGGAAGAAAATAATAATATTGTACAGCATGTTCGATTTTTGAAATATGTTTTAAAACAAACCTTGTGCGATTCCTCTTATATCTATGTTTTTTAATTTTGATAATAAAATGTCATGATCTACTGTATCAAAAGCTTTTTTTAAATCCAAAAAAACAACAAGTTTATATTTTTCATCGGTTTTAATATGAAAGATTTATATTGATATTATGTCTTCTCTACTTCTCATTTCTCGAAAAATAAATTAAGAATTAGATTGTATATTATTTTAATTTAAAAAATTAATAACTCATGTATAAATACATTTTTAAAACATTTTTACAATATTAGATATCAAAGAAATCGGTCGATAATTATTTGGATCTAATTCACTTTCACTATTTTTATATATAGGTACAATATCAGCATGTTTAAATTCGTTTGAAAAATAACTTTTTCAATTAAATTAAAAACATCTGATGAGGGGGTTGAAATTTATTTTTTTACAGATTTTAGAAATACTACAGTGATTTTATCAGAACCAGGAGCAACATTAGATTTTAATGAATCAATTTTAAGAATTATTTTATCTAGTGTAACAGGTTCGAGATAAATAGACGAGTTAATATAAGAATTTTTATTTAGATATTTAGATATTTCCGAAGCAATTCCCATTGCTCTTTCGAATTATTTTATTTTAAAATAATTTTCGCACAGTATATTAATGTAATGTTAAATTTTTGATTTGTAAAATAAAAAATCATTTAATAATTTTAAATAATAATTTTTTTTCCTAAATAATTTATTACGAGTTTTTATTGATGTGATTATTCCAAATAATCCTTAGTAATAAAAGGATTTAAAGATTTTTTTAAAACAAGTAGTTTCAGAGTGGTCATCACGATACAATAATAACAAATTTTCCAAAAGCTTACTACACTATATTTTACCATCATTATCTTCATCAATCGTTTTTTGCCAAAAATTGTTATAAAGAAACCGCTTTGCATTATCTTGGATAATTTTTCATGGTTTAGCGTCAATTCGCTATTATATGAAAAATTGCCGAGGAATGGTTGCCATACGTCCAACTGTGTGAAAAGTACGACTGATTTTTTTGGAGGTTTTTAAAATTTCCGTTTGGTAAGTCTATGATTAATAATGGTTTTTAATATATCAGCATCTGTTTCCGGTAGACAGAATATTATATTATTATAGATTAAAGTTGTTGACCTATTTATTTTGTACGGTATTATTCATTTTTGAAAATTTAAAAAAGTTGTTTTCAAAACTAATTATGAGTGGATATTATTCGGTAATATACATTTTTTTCGAAAAAACTATTTTCCAGGTATAAAGTTGAGATATTAAAATAACATATTTTTTCTTTTATTAATTATGTTTTTTCGAGTTTTAAGGTAACCAAAGTTTTTAACACTGAGTTCTCAACATTCCACGACAATTTAATCTTTCAACAGCTAAATGTCAATTCAATTTTTTCAGTATCTCAATATCAAATTTAGTTTTCAACATTTC